CGCCTATCGGCCTGCTCCCGCTGCCGATCTAAACTCGATCAAGGCTATTCGAATCCTACGACCATTCACACCATTTCGTCAGAGGCGGCGACAGTCGCCTCGTACGTTTCCCGCCTGTTGATATCCTGACAGATATGGATACGAGGAAAAACCAGGAAGAACTCGAAATCCAGTGGAACGTAGGTACGTTCCACTGGATTTCGAGTTCTTCCTACCTAGGAAGGGAGGTACACACTGGGCATAGCTGCTGCCGTGAGTACCTGAATCGGATTGGACGGCGAGTAGAAGGAACAATGCCAAGACTGAGCAGCTGACTGGGACTCCCCCCAAAACACCCTGGCAAACTGCCCCGCATGAGCGGCTGAACGCGAAGTCTTTATCAACCAAATCGGACAAGACCTGTCACCGCCAGCAATCCTTACTGCCATGCTCGTGGGTGAGGAGGGCTGGGGAGCAGTCTCTTTTTGTAAAGCTGTAACCCTCTAAAAAGAGACCGGTGAACGCTATCGGAACCGATCAAGAGCGAAGAAGATTTTGTCATCGGTACGAGCCGCCGACGGAACCGCGGTCTGCATTTGAGATTAATCAGATTAATTGCTGTGGTAGGGGTAAGAATGGCGGCCTGGATTTTCCACCTCATCACAAAAAAAAGTACTATGGCATAACTTTAGCTCTACGATTATATTACTATTCTTCTTTGTTTTATTTCCACTGACGGATATGACAGAAGCCCTTGCGGGATATATTGCGGATGGTGCCCCTAGTGATTCAGATTTTTTTTAGTTTTCTTCAGTATTTTGAAAATCAGTGGTTCAATATGGACCACAACTTGATTAATTGCACACACGATACCCATAGGAGAATTATTATAAGGAGTATCAATAAAAAATTAAATCTCGACTATCAATAAAAAAAACTACGTTTAAAAAAACCGACTTCAAAAACTAAAAAGTATAAAATAACTTAATAAAGATTAAATTTAATACACCTCTTATGTAAACCTTTAATATTAATAAAATACTATTGTTTGTATGTGCTACCTATTGATAGGTTTGAAGTCGGTGCCAAGCCAACTGTAATAGAAGGTATCTACACTCGTCGCGCGTGACTTTGAGGAGGATAGCTTCGTCTAGAACAAAACATCCCAAGCGGGCAGACGTCGTTGACGGTCGTCTCGAAATATAGAAAAATTTTGATGCGTTGTTACCTAATTGATAGATTTGTATAATTTATCTCTTGCAAAAAGCTCAATACTAGTTGTTTTCATAATTGTAGGTATTCATTATTACTTAACGTGTTGTGTGCTCGTCACACAATACGCAAACCAAAAGGTCCTTTTCAGGGCCACAAATATATTCATATATACGAATAATATACATTTAATATAGCTATAGTTACTCATCCAGGTTTTAATATTCTATATATTTTTATAATAAAGTTGTCATCTGTTTCACATTAATTCACATTGTTCTTTAGGTTTATTTACGTAGGTTAATCTTTAGTGTAGCAATTTCATAACAGTAAGTAAGTTGTTTATAATATTAAGTTTCATTTTGTTTAGGGCTTGGCACCGACTTCAAACCTATCAATAGGTAGCACATACAAACAATAGTATTTTATTAATATTAAAGGTTTACATAAGAGGTGTATTAAATTTAATCTTTATTAAGTTATTTTATACTTTTTAGTTTTTGAAGTCGGTTTTTTTAAACGTAGTTTTTTTTATTTTTTACTTTTTAGTGTCTGAAATAGGTTGTTCTGTTAACTACAGTAGGATTTTTCTAGATTACATCAGGTAAACTATAACATATGGTTGCTTTTTATTGTCATATATCTAATAGTATTTTTTTTAGCTTTCAAATAGTAAGTATGTTGAGAATAGATCAATTGACGAACCTTTTTTCTACAACCTCATGTGTGACAGCGTCAAAACGAAAATAGAATAGAAAAAAAAGCAAAAGAGATGAATGTGTTTTTAAATTGTTTTCTTTATTCTGTTCAAAGTATTGTACAAGTCAGTATTGTATTACATTTCGTTGAAAGCACTTGAATCTTAGTTTATTTGCTACAATAAACCCAAACCCACTGTAATTTACAACAAAGTAGCTATGGGTACGCCTACGAAAGGTGCAGCGCGCCTTAAACAATATAGATCCCAAGAAACGGGAACGGAAAAAAGGAATCGACTTCGAAAAAATTCTGTTCGAAACTCTATTTCACGTTCTTGTGAGACAGAGATAGATCGTAAAGAACGTTTGTTAGCTATGAAAAATTATATAAAATTACGTTCACGTCAAGAAACTCTTAAACAGTATGAGTCTAGACTCGCTAAGATTCAAGAACGTCTTGCCAAAGAGACGTCTGAACAGCAAGCGCATAGGTTGGGCCTTATTTATGACCATCTGGCCAACGAGTCTGCTGAGCAGAGGGCTCATAGACTCGGTCTTATTTATGATCGATTAGCCAACGAATCTGCTCAGGAACGTGAAAACCGGCTGGCGACAGCGCGACAGACGTCACAAAGACTACGTTCAATGATTGAGTGTAATTTTCTGACTACTATAAATCAGTACGCTGAAGTTCCCTGTACAGTCTGTAAGAAATTATTATATCCCAAACAACAAATGTCATTAGCGCCAACCCGTTTCGATTTTTTCCGCAAGAGTTAGTAGCCTTGAAAAAAATTATCGTATGTTCACGTTGCTCGACTAGCATAAAAAAAAGAAAAGTTCTTTCTCAGGCCTACTGGAACAACATGGAAGTTATGTCTTTGCCTTCTGAACTGGCCGACTTGACAGACGTGGAGCAAAGACTTTTCTCAAGAGTAGTTCCTTTTATGAAAATTATTAAGCTACAAAATCGTTTTAGCCAGAGTTGGTGTCGTGGACAAGTAATTTTATTTGCTCAAGACGTCGTCGAAGTAGCGGAGCAGTTACCGTTGCCTTTAACTCAGGCAGGTATTGTGTTCGTAAGACCGAATTTTGCTAATATAATAAACTGCGATATTTCACAAATTATAGAAGTGTCGGCAAATAATCAGGATGAAATAAATAACGGTCATAATGCAATTGCGAATCATATCGAAGTTGTTAACCAGCAGCTTAACAGTAAATTTATAAGCCTTAATAATAATACGTCTATATTACGCGGATCCTTCCATCAAGGCAGTGACAGATTAGAATCTTCTGGTAGACAGTGTACTGCTATAGCAGCCGTAGCATGCGTCGCTTGTTATAAATCTGATCCAATTACATGGACTGTTAGTGATTTGGATTACATATTAATAGTCGGCGATAAATTTTATCGACAATGTTTGAGAGCAAGGCCTGTGCCGGATCCTAGAGAAATAAATTCTGATTATTTAGCCGCGACGGAACTCTTGTCGGAGATAACATTCCAGGGTTCCTGTGTAAATTTGAACATTGCACACGATTTATCAATTAATGGCCACTTTTCGAGAGATCAAGAAGGATATCCAAATCTAGAAAATGGTATTGCTTCCTTTTTTGATAATTATACTAGTGGAATCCTGACTGCCAATTTCGTTTCTGTATGTATAGCATTTAAAAATCTGTCATACTGGCTTATAGATTCTCATGCCAGGGGACCAAAAGGTCATAAAGGTAGGACCGGCGGTGTTTCTTGCTGTATGAGATTTGAAACTTCACGACAAATTGCTGCATTGTTACGTAGCAATTTAAAAGCCACAGGACTGCCGGAATATATGCTGAATATATATTCTTGTAACAGTTATTTTTTTAGTATATTTGTATTGCGTACGGACTTGTTAAAAGCGCCACCTGTTGCCCGCGTCGCATTGTTTTTTGATTTATCTAAAGTAGTTTGTAACTACAGTATTGATCTTCTTCGTTCGTCGTCGGACCACTAGATGGCGTTTGTTTGAGATGTCTTTTTATTAATTTATCATGACAAATTGTATAGGTATTGAGAGTGTTTTGTTATGGTAGGAAGCGAGTTACTTTTGATTTTGTTCGTGTTAACTTCGTTGATAATTTAAATGTCAAAGTAAAATGTTGAGTAGGGATTATTTCTGGAAGCTTCGGAAACCCAACATATATAAGTCCGGCTTTCAGCCACGGGAGACACTCTGCTATCTCGTGTCTTCCAATCTTAAATAGTGTTTTGATTGTCTTGTGATTTTATTTTCATAATATATTATCTGTTAAAAGTACCCACGAAAGTTGTGAGTATATTATTAATTTTTCTTGTACCTATTTGTTTCTGGAACCTGATCGATAATATGAGTGCTAATCCATTCGTAGGGTCCCAGATTTCGGGGTCAAGACGGTCAGTCTCAGACGGCGCGCTTGTTCGTTTGTGGCCTTCTGGTTCGAATTCAAGTTTCTCGGTACCCTCTGGCAAGCTGGCAGTCACGCGGCTCACGAAGCAAGCGGACAGCCGTACCCAAGGGTTACGTACTTCTATTTATCTTTATAAATACCAATAGTGAACTTTTCTCAATATCTAATATAAATAGCCGACTCGGGCGGAAGGGGAAGTAACCTCCTGGAGTGAAGACGAGGAGGCTCCGAGCACCATCAGCTCGGCTCTGACGCGCTCCGCTGCGGTTTTTCTTATACCCTCTTATTTATTTATTTTTTCTATTGTAACTTAAATTTTGTTTTGATTGAATTATACATGTATGTATGACTGAGGTGTAAGTTGTTTTCCTCAAGGGAATCCCGTAGGTTTCCCACACGCACGCACTTCTGTTCTCATACAAGGCGCCCTGAGGTAATCTCTTGAATCTCTCCACTGGGTCAGCCGGTGAGTAGTCCGCCTGAGAAGAAAAGCGGCTACATTCTATAACACCAGTTTTTGTAGTCGAAAGTAGTGACCATACCAATATAGAATCACAACACTCTGAGAGGAATCCAAATGTGATCAGTTCATCTACTGATCTTTTGACATCTAATTTAAGAACAGAAAATCGATGTAATGTTGAATTTTCTTCAAGATCAGCTCCAGTTATAAATAATATGGAAATTGTTAACAACCTCAGTGAAGACAGGCGTGTAATATTTTCAACGAGTATGTTGTATTATATCGACGAAAACATCCCCAATTTAGATAGTATTATAGAATCAGATAACAGAAATCTTAATGGAAACAGAGTCACAGATATTCATAGAAAAACAGCCCCACCTGTAAATATAGAACGAGAAAGAAGGATGGAAGAATTATGTTGGTATACAATGTATCCAGATGGCAAAAACGGTTTTGGTGAATCAAGAAACGTCTCGATTACAGCTCTCGATTACTTTCAGGCGCGTGTGATGAGCAACGAAGCCCGATTTCAAAAAGTTGATTATTTATTTTTTGCTCTATCTGTGGTAGAGTATTTTAGAGCAAAAGCGAGCGTTTCGGTTTCTTGCCGTATGAGACAAGGACAAAACGAATTACTTCCTCAGGGTTTAGTAGATAACATACATTTAACCATGAGGAATATAAGGGGTTCTGCTTCATACTGGAAACGTTGTTGTGCAGAGTTAATAGCCATGGTACGTTCACTTGGTGCACCGACTTGGTTTGCAACGTTTTCATGTAATGACCTTAACTGGCCAGACATGCTAAAGGCATTACTTATAGCTGATGGTCGCAAAGAATTTGATATTAAAGCTTTGACTTTCCAAGAGCGACTGGAATTAGTTGAAAAATATCCCGTTGTAATTGCACGACAATTTACACTCCGCGTATATGCATTGATGGCATTTATAAAAAATAAAAGATTGTTTTGGCGGACCTGTAGTTGACTTTTGGTATAGGATAGAATTTCAAAACCGAGGAAGTCCCCATTTGCACATGCTGTTATGGTGCGATGGTGTCCCAGATTTTCAGTCCACTGAAGGCTTGACAGTTATTAACAAAGTTGTGTCCTGTTCTGTGAAAGGCGAACTAGGTGACTTAGCAACAAGGTTACAGACGCATCGCCATTCAGCAACGTGCTATAAAGATCGCAATAATCGTTCTTGTCGTTTTGGATTCCCTCGACCTATTAGTAATGAAACTAAGTACTTAGGGCCGGATGAAACGCTAGGAAACCAAGGGCGATTTTGTGTTTTGAAGCGAAATGAATCGGAAATAATGATTAATAATTACAATTCACTATTGCTTGAATTATGGCAGGCTAATATGGACGTGCAGCCATGTGGTAATGTGACAGCTGTGGCGTATTACATTGCCAAATATGCCAGCAAATGTGAGCCTAATGATTGTGGTGATGTGGTTTGAGAAGCTGTTCAGAAAGCTAAAAGGCATACAAATGACGTGTGGAAACAATTGTTTGCAGTTTCGATGGCCATCTTAAGCCAAAGACTTGTTAGCGCACCTGAAGCTGCATATCGCCTTTGTCATTTGCCGTTAAAGGTCTACTCAAGAAAAGCCGTATTCGTAAATAGCTGCATGCCAAGTCAGCGATACCGTTTATTACGATTTGACAGCGATGAGACGTCTGTTTTCAACAACATCTTTGATAGGTACCAACTCAGACCCGACAGTCTCGAAGAATTAAGTTTGGCAGAGTTTGCTGTACGGTATGAGAATGTTTCCAACTGTACCTGGACGGACGATGATAATGGTGATAGTGAGCTACGTGAACAAGAGCCTGAAGTAGCAAGATATATAAGGTTACGGGATAATATTCGAATGCGCATAAGTAAAGTAGCGGTTTTGCGTCATAGATATTTTACTCTGAACTGCGATCGTAACGGATTTTATTATAATTTAATAGTTTTACATATACAATTTCGAGACGAAAGCGATTTATTAGGGGCGGATGAAACTTCAGAAGCCTGTTTTTTACGACGCTATGCGGACTTAAGGCCTCTTAATCCAAACCAATCTGCGGAACAATTTGCTCATGCTGAGATAGTTATACAACAGGCTCTTGCTCATGCCGTAGCGTTCAATGCGGTTAATTCTTCCACTGAAGTAACAACAATAAGGCAACCTTTGGATACTTATGCCAATGATCAATTTGACTTACACAATGATGATGATGACTTAGGAGACTTAAATAATCATGCTATAATGCCAGATGAATTGTTTTTGGATGGTATTCGTAAGTTAAATATTGAACAAAAGGATTTAATGAAACGCGTATCTGACTCCATCAAAAACCACTTAGAAAATGATGAGACATACCAACCCTTACTTTTATTCATAACAGGAGGAGCTGGAAGTGGCAAATCCTTTTTATTAAAATTAATAGTCGAACATGTTCGTCGTTGCTATTCTCCTACCGTAGATTCATTACTTCAACCTACTTTTGTCGAAGTAACGTCTCTCACAGGGGTAGCTGCAAGACAAATAGGTGGTCGTACTTTACATTGCGTTTTCTCGTTACCTATTGAAAAAGGTAACACCGTAACTTATAGAAAAGTGACAGGCGAGAGATTGGAGAGGGAAAGACGCAAATGGCACTTTATTCAATGGTTGGTCATATTCATTTGAGGCTACAAGAATTTAAAAATAATAGTTTGTTGTTTGGCGGTATCAACGTACTATTATTCGGTGACATTATGCAACTGCCACCAGTGAAAGGCCACTGGTGTTTCGAGCAGCCGCCATGGTTGAGTGCTGAGGTACATTTATGGCGCCAGTTTTCATTTTGTGAGCTAACCATGAACATGCGCCAAAGATCAGACCGCGAGTTTGTAGATCTATTAAATAATTTACGGTTTGGGGAACTTACTACAATGCAGTTAGAAATATTATGTGAAAAACGAAGGGTAACTCTCACAGGTGATTTCGCGGACGGCGCCGCAGTAAGAATATTCCCCACTGTAAGGTTAGTTGAAGACTATAATTCCCGAATGATGTTTTTTACTTGTATTGTTACACAGCATTAAAATAGGGATAGGCTCTAGGGTGATGCTGAGGAGAAATATGGCGGTCTCTGATGGATTAGTCAACGGAACAATGGGTGTAATAAAAAAAATCAAGTGCCCTTCGCCGTGACCAACTAGAAGCAGGAGAACTGCCCGAAGCAGTATTGATTAAATTTGATGACGAGACGGTAGGCACTAGGGTAAAAGATGCGGAGGGCCTAGTTTCAATCGCATCAACATCAGCAACTTTTCAGGCCAATAAAGGTTACGGTGATGTCGAGAGACTAATGCTGCCTCTAATTTTAAGTTGGGCTGTCTCCGTTCACAAGCTCCAAGGTACGACATTGGAGAGGGCGGTGATAAACCTCGGAAAGAAAAATTTTGCAAAAGGTCAGATATATGTGGCTTTAAGTCGAGTGAAGAATTTAGATGGCGTGGCATTAAGTGATTTGGAACCATCTAAATTATTACACAAGCCACATGATGACAAAGCACTACAGGAAATGCAACGATTAAGACAGTTAAATCTAGATTAATTTTTTTACGTATTTTTATGGAACCAAATGGCAACTATTCCGCATCAAACTAAAGAAGAATCACGTAAATCGGATCATAAATCTCAGAGTAATCGGTGTACATATATAAAAAAAAATATACCAATCGAATTGAGAACCTCCTCCTTTTTGAAGTCGGTTAAAAACACCAAATAAATATTTTTGGTTTTTAAAATGCTTTTAAAAGAAGATACCTATTATGATTTTCAAGTAACAAGATCTTTCTTTTTTCCCTGAAGAACAATAGAGAAAAGATTTATTGTTCGATAAACGATGTTGATTATTATTGAAAAAACTTGAAAAGAAAAAATGAAGCCTATGCAATTTGAAAAAAAAGTATAAGTTTAAATTAGGATTTTAATAACATACTTAATAACTGTTTAAATTTTCTTCCTTTTTTAAATTTAAGAATTACAAGTAAAGAGTTTTTGTTTTTTTAGTTAACTATTTTAAGTAAAGAGTTTTTGATCTTTTAATTGATGATTACAAGTAATATTTTGAACTGTGGATAAGCATTTTGACCCATCGCACTACCAAATTACACTACCAGTAGTGTCACTACCATAGCGCAGAAGGGAAAAAATATTACCCCTGACACTACCTACTGGTAGTATAATTTGGTAGTGCGATGGGCCAGAAGGGTGGATAACAAGTAGAGATTTTGTTTTAACATTTGGGATTCAACAGAATGCTATTGATTTCTGTACATGCTATAAAAGACAAATCTAACGCAAAACTCACTAGAAAATAGACAATTTAAGTCAGTAAAAAGGTTAAAGTGAATACCTATATTTCTCCATAATGTGAATTGAATTACTCTGTGTCGGAAAAAAGTTATACCCATCATAATTAGTCCTTCTGTACTGGGATTATTATTTATTCTATGTTGAAAAATTATAAATGATAGTTTATTTATTTCTGCAGGTAACGATTTTCTATCATGTAAGAAATACTTAACAAAATTCAGTCCGCCTACGAGTTCACTGATAAAATTTTGACATCAGACTGGATAGCTGGTGACATTGTTACGTTGGCCGACATTTGCTGTATCAGTATTATTAGTTCTATGAATGGAATGCTGCCAAACGATCAAAACACGTAAGATTACTTTAAATAAATTTATTATTGATTAGTCACTTATACACTATTTAAATATTGTATATCTATCAATTTAGCCGACATTTTTGATGTTGATGCAGCCAGGCTACAATTGTTCATTAAAACATATACTGTTTAAAACGTATATGAAAATTTCAAACGTGCAAAGCTAAGCTTCTGCAACAGTTGCTCACATGGAATAACAAAAGATTTTCAGTTCGGAAAATAATGGATGGAAAAAAAAACTATTCAACTAGTTTGATGAGGACCAATTACCCGCTTGCGTCAGTGAAACGTTTGAAAAAGAATCAGGTATTTTACGTTTACTTTCAATTATTTAGATAAACTGACAACTATTTGTATTTTAACTAATTTTTTTACAAAAAGAGAAAGTGGAAAATGCCGAAAATAATAATGCTATGGATATTGAATACTAACATTGGCTACATGACGAGGTAGAGAATTTCAATGACGAGGTTGACGAATATTGAAAAAAAAACATAAAATACTAATCAATTTTAGATTAGAATTCATTTCTTAGGATTTCTGACAATTCTGTTTGAATATTTTTTTGTTTTTTTTTAATAATTAAAAATACTTATATACTATGAAATTATCATATATATTAATATACACTTAATAAATAAATTTCGTCCGTATAAGAGAAATAAAAACATGTGAATTCTTACAAATTGACCATTATTCTGTAATAATGTTGATAATAATTAAATTAGAAAAAAAAAAAAAAAAAAAGCTTCCATTGGACTATTAATAAGACAATTTTAATGACGCTGTAAAAAGGCCACAGCGCTGTTGGCACCTACGGCAGCTTATAAAATATGTTAAAAGCCTTCTAAATATCATAGATAAAAATCAAGTTTCAGACTGCAGTCGAAGACGAAGTCTTTGAAATTAAAGAATCTTAATCGGTCAGTTACTACTGAATCAATATTTTCTGGCGTTCTTACTTCGTCGAAAATTGGAGGGGTGAGTGTCACCACTAATGTACAATCAACAAAAAATAAATTAAATTTGTAAAAAAACGCAATCATTGCGAATCTGTACCCGTCGGCGAAAAGTTCGAAGTGTATTTGAAAAATACATATCGCTTTGATTCAGTCATGCATTTCTAAGTATTGCGTATATTCAAAGTAGAAGTTTTCAAGAAACACATACTTTAATCCTGTTGCTAATGACTGTGATATACACAGAATAAGAATCTGAAACCATGCTGTATTTTGAAACAAGAAAGAGCCACTGTGAATTTGCTTGTAATGTGTCCGTCGTTTTTGAACATGTAGGTTCAAAAACGAAGGACACATTTGAAATATTATTTTAGTGCAATTATTTAAAAAGTATACTAATGATTCATGCCAATTTAGACTAATATCTAGGCAGATCGCATATAAACCTTAACCTGAATATAATTTTTGTTCAAAATTGTTGTTTGTCCAAAATTTAGCACACATCAAAACAATGTTGTGACATATTTAATAGTGCCATTGTATCTGCCTGTGAATTGCAAAAGAGTGGCCATGAGTTTGTTTGCCCTTTCTTCTCATAAGGCTCAACCCCTTGGAAACGGGCGGTAGATCGGCACAGGCATATCATAGATTTTGTATGGGTATGATTTTTGTTAAATTTATTTGCTTACTATTTGACAAAACAGAGATTGTTGCTTTTGTGTGTGTTGATCTATGACTTTAGTCTACATGAAAGACGATTTCAAACAATTTTGGAAATTTTATGGAATAAAGAAAGTTTGAGTTTAATAGATGCAATTTTTGTCGCGAAAAAAAAAAACACCCAACAGTGTGCAAATATACGCTATCAAATACAGTTTCATTTGTTTTTGCGAAGTTTAGAGTAAACGAGGTACCAGAATAATAATGATAATATATAATGATTTCAAGTATATCATACATATTAAAAAGGTGTAATAGAATTTACCCCTTCAATTAGCGATGCTGACATGGGACACTATAAATGTCTAAGCGACAGGATTAGATATTTTGTTACGACGATAATCATTCTCACTACAAAATTTGCCAAAGCCGGTGCTCTGGCGAATTTTGGTCGGTACCAACCAATGATTCATAAATAATAGGTCTTTTAGTCGGAATGGATACGGATATTTAAAAAAACTAGCATTTTCAGATTTAATTATCTGTGGATTGGCGCGTAATTTCATATAAAATTTATTCGAAAGCCATGGTATTTAAATATCAGTCATTTGTTTTAGATAGTTTTGATTTCATGAAATTGTGGTAGTTTATCGCGCTATGGATAAATTGAAAAATCGTACAATTTTGTAATATGTGTTATTAATCTTACGTGGAAATACCACTGCGCAAACTACACGAAATATTATGATTGTACTAGCGATGTGTACGGACCTAACAGTGTTAGTATAAACAGCCCATTATTGGTTTATTCGTTGTAGATCTGGAAGTTTTGAATTGAAGAACGAGCCTTGCGGTTGGCTGAAAACTATAGTCGACAACTACAAATTAAAATCCGATAGTGGAAGCGAATCCAACTCAATCTACGGCTAAGCTTTCTGCGGACTTTAAAAGTTAATGTCAAAACAACATTGAAGCACTTACTTGCGTTAAATCGTAAAGATAAAATAGATAAGTGGGTGCCACACGAACTAAGTGACCATCAACGAGACTTACGCGTTGATAGTCACTTAGTTCGTGTGGCACCCGAGACTTACGCGTTGAAGTATGCATAGCACTACTGAATCGGCATAGAAACGAGGAAATTCTGAATCGAACCGTCACCTGCTATGAAAATTGTTTAGTCGTCCTCCAAAAGCGCACAAAAGCGCAGGCCTGGGGGTGGTAGGTGAGGCCATCTGTCACCCTAGCAGAAGCAGGCCGGGGTGGTGGCGAGATGCGCTGTGGTATGCGCGCGCCCTTTCGGGAGCACAAAAGGGACATACAGGTTCTCAAACAGGAGAGGGTCATTTACACGCCGTAGATGGCCCGTGGTACATCGGTTCCTGTACCTGGTTCACCGGCAACTGGTACCCGAGACGGCATACTGTTTTTGGTCGGTTTGCGTCCAACATAACCACCGGTGGGTGGTATCCGAGGGGATTTCCGCACGGAAAATAAGGGCTATTTGGGCCATACGGACGTATTTTCATTCAAATATAAAGAATATTCCAAACAATTCATAAATTACAAAAAAAAAAAACAACAAGAACCTCTTACTTTATTCGAAGTCAGATAAAAATATTATAAAACTGTTTTATAATATTTTGTTTACTATTCAAAAGTATATATTACAACTAAGACATGGTCAACAGGTTCTTGAAACAAGATTTTATTAATAAAGTGTTCTAACCAGTTTTATGTGACTATTATGTTCTTTAGAGAAGGAATTATGCTCAAATGACAGAGCTACATATCTAAGGACAGTCATAAGTTTAATAAGTATACATTTGTCTAGTTCCAAAAATCTTTTTATTGCTTAAAAAGAGAAGGCAAAAAAACGAGAACTCTACAAAATAGGTGAGTATTAAAATTCGAAACAAATTCACACAACTAAAATTATTTATTATTATTTAACCCTAAATGAAATAAATTAATTTCATTTAGGGTTTTATTTAATTAACTGTGGTTGCTTTTCTATGAGTTCTTTGCTTTTGTGTTAATTGTCTATAAATCTTTAATGCTGCTCCGATAAAATGTTCTGCTAAATGTATTGAAAACAGTAACATATGGCTACTACTTTGAATTTTTACGGGATATTGATGACGGCCTTAATCGTCATCGTCTGTCATAATTGTTGTCATCCATTTTAGGATTGTTAAGGATATTATTTATGATTTTGAAATAAATCATTTTTATTTAAAATATATCTCAAATCCGAAGGGCTTTTGCATCCCGTCTATAAAAAGAAAACATATACAGATTAGTTGAAATATAGTTGTATTTGAATGTAGTAAAAAAAAAATTAGTCAAACGAATATTTTGATTTTTTTTTCTAAAGTTTATTACCACAACTCTGTTTTACTGCACAATCTGAAGATTGATATTGGGAAATTGAAACAGTTAAGAAGATTCAATCCCTTTTTTTTTGTTTTAAAAGCAATGGTTCTGACACTATATAAAAAGGACACGAGCGCTCCTTGTAGATCAGTTTTTATGGTCCTCGAAGCTCTCGGCATTAAGGATGTGAAGTTGATAAATATGAATCTACAACAACGAGACCAATTTAAGGAGGAATACTTGAGGGTAAATAAACTTAATATATATAATATAATAATTAAGATTAAGTATCAAACATTTTAATTTAAAAGCTAATTTCTGAAACACAAACAATACAACAATTAACTTAAAATGCACTAGATTTTCATTTACTCATTATTATCATGACTCAATTAAAATCTAGTGCAGATATAACCATGTTTAGTTAATTTTTAGTTTCAATACTATTTTATCATAATATGTTTCCAGATGAATCCACAACATACAATACCCACTCTAATAGATGACGATTTTGTTATTTGGGACAGGTATGAATATTGAACATTTTATTATTTATGTTCCAATTTCAAAATAGGTTATGCTTGAATTCTGAGTTTAACAGTTAAGTAAATACTCAAAAATAAAACAATTATTAAAAATAATCTTAAAAAGTAATAAAAGGTAGGTACTCAAACCAAACTTGATATAGAACATGACGTTAATTATGATAAATTGTATTCATAGTCATGCCATTACAACATATTTAATCAACAAGTATGCTAAGGACGACTCTTTGTATCCGAATGATGCAAGAAGAAGAGCTTTAGTGGATCAAAGGCTACATTTTGATACTGGTGTACTGTTTGCTGCTCTATTTGCAACTATGGTGAGTGAAAACATTCAAAATTACTATCTTTAATGTATCTACTGAATTGCGTCTGACTATTTTAAAATCACAGAAACTCACAAAAAGGCTATTGACAGATATGTCTTATGAAACACAGACAAAAGTTAAAAATATATACGAGTATAAATAGGAGGTTGGTGACAATCGTTCTGATAAATAAGGAAGATAATAATATTACTATTGATAAGCAAATCAGTCACCGTAATCTAATGTGTGTGAAATAATGTAGTTTAATTTAGTAAGAAAAGCACTTAAAAAACATGTTTTAAGAACGGTGACTTTTCCGTATTTTTCTAACTAATATACTCGTAACATGCTTTACGCATGAAAACGATTTGAAAAAATCTCTGAATAATTATGAAAACCATAATGTATTAAGATAATTTTATTAAATCAATTTCATTTATTAAATGCAGTTTACAAGAAGAAATAAAATTGAATATTTTTACTACGTTTCTGATCAAACAAACCCAGTATTAAGTAGTAATTAGTAAATTTAAACAATTGATATAAACAAAGAAACCACCACTGAGTTAACACAGCATGTTGATGTAAGGTATTCCTTACAGGTAAGGTAACTTAAATTTTTACTTAGAGACATCTATATAAAAGATATTGAAACTTTTTAGTAAAATTTAGTACCGGCTTAAAGAGGCTTAGTCTGTCTTTACTAGATGGCATTACTTGTTAAAATTCGACAATGTGAGAAGTTTTTTTCAGCTAATTTTATTACGCGTTGAAATAAAAATGCATCTGGCCAAAATTATGTTAGGTACAAACTAATGATTTTTATATATATTCTGTTGTTCACAAAAAAGATTAAAAACTTGAAATAGAATAATGGCCACTTCTAAGACAAGTGTTTATGTCAGTGTCAGTTTGTTTCATATATTCCTCTCTCAGATGAGGGCAAATTAGTCTGAAGTTTTTCGATATCTTTTTCCAATAACATCATGGAAAAAACGATGAAGAAGAGGTATATTTTACCAAAAACCAAAACATGGGTATTTGCCTTTTAGCTACAAATTTGCCGCTTCTACCGCCAAAATATATGTTGCTCTGATGGAAAAAAGGTTTTAGAAGAGGAAACACCACTTACAGAATCCGACAAAAAAAAATCACTTATTACAAAAATTAAAAAAAAAGGACCTGAAAATTGTCGATAAAAATATTAGAAATTTTGTAAGCAAGTCTTGAACAAAAAGCAAAAGACGAACAGCAGCCATCGGGTTTGACAGACAGTACAAACAATATTTGAGAAAGCTGGCAAATAGCAGAATACTTTCAATCTACACTCGGTTCCAAAAATTACGGGTCAGTCACAAAAATTGAAATACCTCCAGAACTGTAAAAGTTAGATCAATGAAATAAAAAACAGAATAAAGACTTTTTAGTTGCGCTTCTAATAGCATATTATTTAAACTGCTTGATGAAAAAAACTTCATTAGAAAAACAAAATTAAAAAAAATGACTATTTTTAAAAACAATTCATTTCATTATAGATGCTTTCCATTTCTATTCTGTCACAAAAAAAAAATATCGTGAACGTCTTCCACGTGCATAATTATTATTCTGTGAGGTGAAGCATGGCAGTCACGCTAGAGGAATGTACCAGTATCCTAACTTTTTTTGAACTTGGGCGGAGCGTGAAACAGCCAGAAACATTGGTGTATCTTTGTCGACTGTTCAGCGGCTAGTCCAGCGGTACCAAGAGACCGGATCACACCTTAGAAGACCAGGAAATGGCAGACCAAGATGCACAACGGTCAGGGAAGACAGACAACTGGTGGCTACAATGCTCCGAAATCGTTTTCAAACTGCTGTTGGTCTCTTCTCACTTTATTCGCTTTGGAGGTGGCAATTTAAGCGCTCAAACAGTAAGATGACGTCTTGCTGAAGCAAATTTGAAACCATTGAGGCCCGCAAATGGCCCCAAACTGGAACGGGGAAGTCGAATTGCAAGACAGAGATACGTGCGCGAGCACCTAAACTGGACACTAGACGATTGGTCTAGGGTAATGTTCACGGACGAGTCTAAATTCATGCTTTATAAGCATGATGGTAGGCAGTTGGTGTACAGAAGACCAGGGGAGCGCTTCCATCAAGAGTGTGTGGAGGAAAAAGTGGCGTGTGTGGAGTAAAAAGTGGCGTACGGTGGAGGCTCCGTACAAGTTTGGGCTGGGATTTCTACTGAGGCCCGCACCGAGCTGGTACTCATTCAAAATGGAACTCTAAATGCAGAGAGGTACGTGGCAGAGATCCTCAATGAACATGTAGGTCCTTTCATGGCCAGGATGGACCGGCATGGCATATTAATGCATGATAATGCGCGTCCCCATACCGCCAGAATTGTACATGACTACCTTGAAGAGGTCGGTATCGAACTCATGCAGTGGCCAGCGCGAAGCCCGGACTTAAACCCCATCGAGCACGCCTGGGACGAGCTTCAGAGATGCGTGAAAGGTCGAAACCCACCACCAATCACGCTTCCCGAGCTCAAACAAGCACTGGTGGAGGAATGGGAAGGTATTCCTCAGCACCGGCTCCGAAATTTGGTGTACAGCATGCCTAATCGCCTGGAAGCTGTCAGAAGAGCTCGTGGAGGCAATAGAAAGTATTAAATGAAGAAAGTGATGAAAAATAGCAAAAAAACAATCATAAAAAAATGAAATCTTAAGAAAAATATGACTACTTTAGTTTTTTTTTTTAATTTAGAGATAAGTTAAGAGTTAGAGAGTTTAGATTTGTTTTATTTTATTTTTTATCTGTATAATTAAATTCTCAATTGAACAGTCTTTGTTTCATTAGGATGGTATACGTAGTTCGGGAGATATTCGGGTTTATGTGACTGACCCGTTATTTTTGGAACCGAGTTTATTTTATAAAAAAATTAACATTATTACTTTTACTTCAGTGAACTATATTATTTTGTCTTTTAAATTAGAATAATGTTATTTTATTAATAACAATTGTATTACTTTTAGCGTTAGTAATCTTATAGGTATAGGTTATAAAATTTACTCTAGACACGCGATACGCGAAAAATGTACGTATCAGCATTTTGCGTTTTTAGTAATTTACTAACATGGTCATTCAAGAATTGACGAATCTAAATACGCGATAAGCCAAAAATGTATGTATGCCATGTATGGGCCTATTGCGTTCTTGGTAATTTACTAACATGGTCATTCACGAATCTAAATACGCGATACGAGAAAAAATTATCTATTGGCCTTTTGCGTAATGCTTTGCAAGGGATTTTTGAAGTAAGCGACCCATCTTTGAATGTTTCACACAGAGGAAAGTAGAAAAGAAATATAAAAAGGTTGTTTCCAGTACCTAAGCTGGTCATAAACATGCTGAATACAAATATAGTAAAAAAGTATACCTAGTTATATTTTAACTTATTTGCATTTAAATATAACATTCTACCTTCAAATTTTCAGGTCCCTGTTCTGTATCATGGAGAAAAGACCTTTAGGCCAGAAAACTTTGCAAAAATAAAGAATGCGTACGATATTATAGAAAAATTCTTCTCTGGATCATGGTTGACTGGAGACACCCTTACCTTGGCAGATATCTGTTGCGTCAGCACAATCAGTTCTTTGAACGAAATTATACCAATTGATGTTAACTTGTAAGTATGAGTAGAGAAGTAAGGAGGAACATTCAATTTTCAATCTTCTGGATGAAGTCATCCAGATCGTTGTATTGCAAAATGGTCCATAAAGCAAGTGCTTTATGGACCATTTTGCAATACAACGATTAATCGTCCAATAAATAACAAAGATTTTATAATAATATTTTTTCAGATAATTAATAAATAAAAACTTTATAGTTATTAATCATTTTAACGTGTATTGTGTGTGTGTAGGTATCCCAAATTGACCGCTTGGTTTACTCGCTGTTCGACACAAGAATTCTACATTAAAGCTAACATGGTAGGATTACAAGCATTTCGCGAAATGGTTAAAAACGCAGTCGCCTGAAAAAATAAAGTATACAAATTTTTACTCTTTGTTTTATTCCTATTGACTTTTACATTTGTTTTTCACATCCTTTGAAAGACATCAAATACTACACCAAAATATTTTCAACTGATCACAAGAATTTGAGACATTAGAACTATTTTATAATAAGATGATTAACTTCTTAATAAAAGATATATTATTTGCCATAACTGTTGAAGAACCTATTATGTCATAATATGAAAACAATGCTCGCGATTGTGTGATATTAAAATACTTAATAAAGTTTTCGTTGTGATGGTCTCTGAACACGAAAATCGTCAATCTTCATCAACAACAGTGATAGAATCAGTCACAAGACCCATTAAAAAATTTGAATGGATACACTTTCACTACAGCACAAGTGATGGGTGGTCTCTTACACTGCACGACGAAGACTGCTACAATGAGCACTGCTAGAGCAACTTTATATGTACGTGACGATTGAGGGCTCTAATCGTGAATCGAAAAAACGAATGTTATCAGTAGTTGTAAAACAATTGTAGAACCGATTAAAAAAATATAAAAGTATATTAATTTAAATGATGCCTCTCAATCCTTATTCAAGAGAACCTTTTTCTTGGTAAATCAATGCTAAATCTAATACTCATATTTTTGTAAAAATACAGATAAAAACTTCCCAAAAAATATATATCAACATTAACAAACATTCAAAAATTTCATAAATATTTTAAATATATCCCTCAATTTTTACTGTATGGATTGAGGGCTTTGGTGTTTTCAAATAGGAGCTATGTGTATAAAATTTATTTTTGCATCTAGACAGTAAGATTTGTCTAATACTTAGTAAAAACAAAATGACTGAAATTATAATAATATAAAAGGTTTAACAGTTAAACTATGTCCCTCAATCCTTATGCCTACAAAAACACACACACAAAAAAACACACTAGAAACTGTAAACAAACTACGAATATAAATTTTAGTAGTAGTTTTCTACCAAAAAGTTTTACAGTTACTTGACTTGACGATTCGTTATTCATAAAAATATTAACTTATCAATATTCCTAAAACTAAATATGCATAGGGTGAGCATTAAGTACCTAATTTTACAAGCAGTTAAATTAAACTTTCATACATTATAATCACAAAACACGTACCTATACTTAACATCTAATATAAAAATATTGTTCGTTTTTTCCGAGACTGTATTTTTTCTGACTTTCCGACTTGAATAGAAAATTGGAAAGGATAAGTTGAAATAAAAGTAGCACAGCCAAAACCAAAATAACATTTTTCAGAAACGGCAACCTATGAGATTATGTGTGCATGTAACATCTCAATTATTTTCGAATAAATGGTTTTAAATACTGTTTTAGTGTACGTTTTGTGAAAGGATTCATAAATGTGTAATACACATCAAACAAAAATCACAAGAGAAGTTGTGTTTATGCCATTGAATATCGACATAATTTCCGTTTTCGGTATCAGGTTTTTAGGAAATGATTTATGTATTACCGAAGAAAACAAAGATTGCTTGTCATGTAATAAGTACCGTTAACTGGAACTTCTTGCTTCATATCTATATAATAGGATTCAAAAAGTTCATATTAATGGTGAGCGGTCTCCAGGCTCTGTGGTAGAAATGGGCGTTCCACAAGGTTCTATTTTCGGCCCTTTTATGTTTTTTAGTATGTGTGATGTAATTCGTTAGAATTACCTCACCCTGTCAAGGAAAATCTTGAGATTGTGTCGTTTGCAGATGATACATCACTATTATTTAGACGAAAATGGACACTTACTAATTTCACAAACGTAAGTAGAGCCATTTCGAAAGTCGTTCATTGGTTTGACGTCAACAATTTGATTTTAAATGAACACAAAACTAAGTGTATACGTGCTAAACTACTATACTACTATGCCAAACGTCAATCCCGTGAAAACTGTGACGATTAAGGATGATCGGGTTAGACCTTGTAGGCACTACGACATTTTTAGGTGTAAAACTAGATTCTAAGCTACAGCTACAGCTCAGCATCATATGCAGTAACAAAAATTCGAGAGTTGACTGATGTTGATGTAGCTTGTTTACTTTAGTTATTTTTATAGCATAATGTCGTACTCTGTTCTACTGTGGGGGAATGCTGCCGACATTCAAATTATTTTTGTACTGCAAAAGAGAGCGATCCGAGCAATTTATAATTTAAGCAACCATTATTTATTGAGGCAGAAATTTAAAGAAATAAACATAATGACAGTGGCAAGTCAATATATGTATGAAAATATCATAAATCTTCATAAAAACAAAGGTAGCTTTTTGAAAAGAAGTGATGTACATTCTAGAAATACCAGAAATAGAAATACACTTGTAGTACCCGCCGCTAGACTCCAAAAGATAAGCAAGCCTTTTCGACGTCAATATGTCCGATTTTATAATAAAATTCAAAACTTAAGTATTAATAAATTTAAATCCACAATAAACTCAATTGTTGATTACATAGAAGACAAAAATGTATTTAATAAATTTAGCGCAGGCTATTGCTTAAGTGAAAATGAGGTGTAAGCTAGTGTTTTTTTTCTTTGTTTTTTTTTTTTTACTTTTTTTCTCTTTTATTCGTTTTTTTCTTAATCTTGTTTTCTCTTCATTGTCTTTTTACCTTTTAGTCCTTAATAACGGATATACTGGCACACATCACAACAATGTTGTGGTATATTTAATGATGCCATTGTATCTATCTGTAAATTGCAAAAGAGTGGCCAAAAGTTTTTTTCCCTTTCTTCTCATAAGGCTTGGAGTTGGGCGGTTGTAGTTCGGCACAGACATATCATAGCACAGATATATCATATTTTATGTAAGTTTAATTTTTATTAAATTTATTTGCTTACTAATTGACAAAACAGAGATTGCTGCTATTGTGTATTTTGATCTGACTTTAGTGTCTACATAAAAGACAATTCCAAACAATTTTAGTAAGAAAAATAGTTTGAGTTTGAAGTCATAAATTTATAGGAGCCACTGAATTTATTCCACCATACCCTAATATGCTCGGTCACTACAAATGTCATATTTTCTTAAATGAACAAATATACTGTTATGATGACAATAAAAATAAATTTTGCTAAAGCAACACCACGCTACCAATATACTTGCATTCACCTAGCTACAGTCATTGTTTAATTTTCGGTCACCCATTATATATATATTTAGTTTTAGGAATATTAATAAGTTAATATTTTAATGAATAACGTATCTGCTAGTCAACTAATTGTGTTAACTTTTTCTAAAATTTATATTCGTCGTTAATTTTTATTTACAGTAAATAGTGAGCTACGATCTAGTATTTTTCGTAGGCATTGAGGGACATAATTTCTAGTTATATTTGTTAAACCGTGATGTATTTTCAGAAACTTTTGTTTTTTACAAATTATTAGACTAACTGACTTAACTTAATCTTGATGCAAAAGTAAATTTTTGGAAACACCATTATATAACTCAATCCATACGGTAAAGATTGATAGATATATTCAAAACTTATAATCTTGATGAAACTTTCGGGAAGTGTTTATGTGTATTTTTACAAAAATATGTGTATTAGATTTAGCTTCTACTTGCATTGACTTACCAAAAAATGGGCACCCTTTAGTAGGGATTGAGAGACCTCATTTAAATACAATTGCTATTTTTTTTAAATTATTATTTTAAAAATTTTAAAATCGGTTCTACAATTTTTTTACAACTTTTACTAAATCTGAATAACATAACAATAACATAACAAATAAAACTTAAAATCTCTAGTGCTATTAGGACGAGAATGGAACGTTCTAAAACTAAAAGAACATTACACAACTGAAAGAACATTTCAACAACTAAAAGAACATAAAAAGATGAAAGAAATCTTAGAAATGAAACAACATCTTGCAATTGAAATAACATCTCTCAACTGAAATAAATCATTCGTAAATTACAGAAAAAGCAAAGGAAGCTTTTTAGTAGTAGTAGTGGCTTTACTTTCCAAATTAAATCCCTCATCATTTTCTCAAAAAAGCTTTAGTCGATTATTTATTTTTTAATGAAAATTATTTTTTACACGTAATAATATTTATTTATCAAGTACTAGTAAGGTCAGAGTTATTTTAATACTTTACCCTCACCACAAACACAACCACACATAATGATATGGTAAACACATCATTGTTATAACTGACTTTTGCTCTATTATCAAATAAAAAACTGGGACAAACATGAAATTATTTTTAATTCCAAAAGAAATGCTGGGTGTAATCAAATTTGAGTAATTGACTATTAATTAGCAGTAGTATAAACTAAGTGTTTAGTAAGTTATTTCATGCTTTTTAGTGGTTTTAAAAATAAGCAAAATAGGCATGTAACTTTGCTGCCTCCAAATATTATACATTTAATCTATCATTTAAAAATCATGGTAGAATAAAATAGGTTAGTAGAGAAATCCAGTTGATATGCACAGAAAACAAAAGAACTATTACACACCAACAACAGATATCGAGGGTTAGCATCACTGGATCAACTGGACTGCTTCAGATCAGCATCCAGTATGTAAAAATTAAAGGGAAATGTATTAAGAAAGGAACCAATAGAAAGTAGTATTGCAGGTACATTAACATGCTTGAATATTCCTCATCGTATACCTCAAATCCTGTTGACTTTGAAAATGATCAATAAAAAACAATAGAAATTATGCATGATCTAGGGCAAAATGATGAGACGTGACAACTAATCACCTTAATCTTACAATGAGCTTCAGGCCATTCCGTAGCTTTAACCAAGAAAATATTCGTAATTAAAGGGTTAAAATATTAGTATAAATGTAATGAATGCTTTAAAAAACCAAGCATATTTATAAAAAACAATAGAGTTGCAGTCATTAAAATTTCTTTAATTACGACAAATTTTAGGCACCAAAATAAAAGCAAAGCTGCACCCAAATGAAAGGAAGGTTGTTAAGGCGCTTTTGCAAACTCATTTTAAAAAGTTTTAGTTTCTC